TTAAGTCATATGATGTGTATTGCTATTACGTATGTTGTTTAGTGCATCTGGAAGAAACACCACTTTCATAGATAAGACAGTAGTAATAGGCCTATTCGTCGGAGAAAACCAGGAGAATAGAAATCTAGATAAGGTGATACTTCGCTAACATGCCTTTATCGAAACCATAGCAGAAGTGATTATGGGTTGTAATCACTAACTGAGCGTATTGCTGTTGCCTTAGATGGTGTCAGATCCTGTTGGTCCTATTTGGCAGCAAAACCTATGGTGGAAACCACACCAAAGAGGGCACAGTTCATTCTGCGAGCATCAAGACTCACAATCACTCAGCAGAGTCCATACCCTATCAATCCCAAGGGAGGTAGATCATGTCGTCACCAGCAAAAAGAAACGGCAAGTGTAAGCACGACTAAGCAGTGACAAATTTATGAACGGCATGCATTCCACTTAGAAAACAGCTTTCAACATTCTCCAGTCATCTGCGTGCCACCAGAACATGCCCGCGAATACAACGCCGGCGAAGACATGCGGGCTCCTCGTCGCGTCTGCTGTGGCATGCACCAGCGATGCCAGCACTAACGACCCGGGTCGCACCGTCGACGTGCGGAAGTGGCCCGTTCTCCGAGCGCGAGCCAACAACCTCGGTTGCCGCCACAATGGCCGTGTCGCGAGCCGGGGTCCGGCGCCGTTCAGGGCAGCAGAGCGCGGAGAGTGGGGTGATGCGCCGCCGCCCGGTGTCGCCGAGGCCCGCCAGCAGGGGCCCGCAGAGCGAGGAGAGTGGGGTGACGCGGCGCCGTCCGGCGTCGTCGAGACCGCTGCCGTCCAGGGTTCCGACAGAGGGCCATAGAGCGCGGAGAATCCAGGGTCCTACCGGCTCTAATCAGCATCTCTACACAAGTGTCCTGCTTAAGGTCCCACTCGTCTACGAGCAGCTTCGATCCCCCCGCCCCGCCCCGCGTTCCTGTTAACATCCCATTCGTGCGCCGCCTAACACACCGCCTACCGCGGGGTTCTTGTTTTGCGCCCAATTTTGATGCTGTTTATGGACAGCACCTGCTAAGAACCCAATTAATACCTTACGCATGGGTCGTGCTTAGAATCACATTTCTCCTCTGCCTGCATTGCTACGCAAGCTTGAAATCGCACTGAAATCGCAATCGCACCTGCCTTCTGTGTAACGTTTGAGCGTGTTTAGCGACAACCGTCACACCCGTACTCCGTCTAATTCCTGCCCACCTGGAATTTCTCTTACAGTCTTTTAGTGGCGCATGTTGCCCGCCAGCGAAGGAGGATTGATAGTCAAAGCATTGCAGGTGCCGGGCCGGTTCTCCGAGCAGATACGAGGCGGGGGGGGGGGGGGGATACCAAGCGGAATTTTTTCTTCGTCTCTTTTCACAAAAACGCTGTGAGGTTCGTGTTGATTTTTCAGAGGCGCGGGGAAGGGGAACGGCTGCCGCCCAGCCCATGCTCCGTTCATCATACCCCCCCCCCCCCTCCCCCTTCATCCTTCATCTGCGTTCGTGGAGGTCAAGGCCTCTATCGCCATGCCCACAAACCTGCATTGCTACGTTCTTGTGCGAATTACATGCGAGCAAAATTCACATATCTTTAGTGGGGCCGCACAGAGTCAAATCCGCTGGCGGTTTAAGTTCCATTATACGTATGCCTCTTCTCCGGTTAAGTTCTTGGTTGCATGGCAAGCAGTGAACATTGCTTTTACTCTCACACTGGATCTCCGGCATTTGTTACAACACTACATAACTGCTGGGGAATGGGACGACGCAGTTACGTTTATTACCGCGCTGCTGGGCAGCTGTCCGTCGAAACGTCGACAAACAGACTGAAGCTGATATTGAGATTCATCGGCAGATCCGCGAACCATGGTTTACGTTGCACACTGATTGAGCGTTAGGTGTAGCTCGCATACAGTCGCCGACAACAGAGATGCCTTTTTGGTCCGCTTGCTGCCAGTTCTCGACTTGGACGCTCCGATGCAGACCATGACCGTTCGCAACCCGCGCGCTCCCCGCGTGCCCGCAACCACACGGAGCTCATGGTGCACCGCCGCGCCGCCCCGCATGACTGCGGACGGGGCAGGGGACGTGACGTGACTCTGACGTGACGTGACGTGACTCACACAGGTGACGTGACTCTGCTGGACACCGCCAGCTGAGCCGCGCCGTCCGCTGCGCCGCTGGCCACGGCATGTGAGCAGACATGCAGCTGAAAATCGTGGAGAAAGGCCTTACAGCGGTGCGGCGGGGCTGACGGTCAACGGAAGCAAAAAGAAGCTATGCGACAGCGTGTCTCTTCAGGTGTCTGGTGGTTGTTTCAGACCTGAATGGTTTCCTTGTGTCTGTACGCAGCGGTTAAAGTTGCCAACAAGGTGCAGCCTCGCGTTGGCTGCCGCCTTCCTCGCCTGTCTCCACGCTCCGAGGGCCTGTCTCCACGCTTTTACTGATCAATCTCATCACTCTGTGACACGTGTTGTTGATGATCATTGACCACGCAGAGACCGACGACTTACGGGGCGAGACTTAATCTTCATATAAACCTTATACAGCCTGTGGCATTACACCCGTTTAAAGGACTGTCTCCAGTCTTTTTAAGCGAGTGGGGCGCACATCGTCGCGCACCGCCATGTGGGGCGCCAGTGACTGCCGCGGCACTCGGGGGCCATGGCGCAACCAGCAGTCGAGTTAGGTTCCCCACGTGGAAACCGAAAACGCTAGCCACTCGGCCATTACGCCTCCTCAGGGCTCGTGATGGTGTGTTCCTCCTCTTCGTCAATTCCCTTCTCACCTGGGCAGGTTTTCCGAGCCATGGAAACAGCCTATCATAAACCCCAGTCCCAGTTTCAATCCGCTAATCCACGCTATCCATAACACTAACACTCGACATAAAACGAACATCACAGTCCTACGCACAATGGTCGGGCGTGTCGTGCAACGAAAGCCTCGCCACTACTTGTCCAATAACCATCCCCGTTCCCCCCACAGCACGGTTTCCGTTCTCGACACTGAACTGAGACCGCGCTGGCGAGCATAGGCGACCACATCCTTACCGCATGGTCCGCACATTGTGGTCCTACTTGTAACCTCAGAATGTCTAAAAATGCGCTGTGATATGCTTTGATAGATTAACTGTGCCTGTCTCCTCAATACCTCCTTTATGTGGGTGTTGTAGTTTTCCGTAGGTCCTCGGAAGTGACACCCAGCAGACTCGCCATTTGCTTCAGCCTTGTATCTGGTACCGTGTTATGACAAAAACAGCTTCTACTTGGCTTGTTTTTATTATTTTTGCTCCATCCGGATTGTGACTTTGATGCAATCAGAGCTGGTGTCGTGGAGGCTCGAAAAATTATCTTACTTCGGAAGGTTAAGTGGCCGATGTTGTTGATAAGCACATAGCTCCTCGGCAAGGGATGTAGTTTACTATTCCGTTATGAGGAGGGGGAGGGGGGGATGAAGCCCCCCTTCCAGGTTGGGCTTCATCTCCCCCAACTTTGGGAAGAGAGTAGACAAAATCCGGGAGGAACCCGTTTGTTGGCATATTTTGGCGGTAGGCTAGGCTATTTTCACTGCTGCCCTCCCCCTCCCCTCAAGTCATTTTGCAGAACTACGCTACTGACAGGAACCACGCGCTTCGTGCTGCGAACGATGGGACATAATTTAACCCGACGTGAATCCGCTGATGACTCCCAGCACTAATAGCGCCGATTAGTTGACGGGCGAGGTGGTGGAAAGAATGGTCACCGAGTCTGGCACGTGACCCGGACGACCGAATTTGCATTGACCCATGAAAGGAGAGCGCTCATTGCAAGAGTGTACGGCAGTAGGTACTCATTCTGAAGGGCGGAGCCCTCTAAACTTGACACTGAGTAAACTTCAAACCTGCAGCTGACATTCACGCATGCGTTCTCCCAACATGACGCATCATGATATGCAAAATTATAAGAAACACAGTCAGGGAGGGCGATAAATCAAAGGTCGCTTACAGGGAGAAATCCCGAAACTCGACAGGTACGAATGATGTGCAGAAGCAATTTCCGATTCATTCCCTGCTTATCCCTCATTGTCTTCCAAAAAGGTAAATAGCAGAGCAAAACATGAGTTTTCACTCAACCCTCTCGGCCAAGGAAAACCCACTTCCAAGAGTATAGGCAATAATGTAAGGAGGCGGGTATGAGCGCAACATGTGTCAATTGTACACCCGCGCGTCCGTCAACTGAATGCGCTGAAGTGATTGTCTGACATTGGCGATGAACTGCCCTGATGAGATGCAGCGGGCCTAAAAAGCGTGAGTTGATGTGGCGATGGAGTGAGCGAGGCGATGGAGTGCGTGAGGCGATGGAGAGCACTGTGCCTTGCGATGTACTGTGCGCCTACTTCGCGAATTCCGCAAGCATGTGTTGTCTGTGCGTGTTGGAAGGCATAATGCAACTGATCGAGTTTCGAGCCATTCCATTGAGTCTTCGCAACAAAGGCCGATGTGGCTCCACGGATGACGACAAGCAGTCGGCCGCCAGCCGATGACGAGCGAGTGGAGATGGGGGGGGGGGGGGGGGGGGGCACGAACGGGCGTACAAGCTCCAACCAATGCATGCCCTCCGATGAAGCGAGCGGCGCCTCAACGATGCTTCTGAGCGGCTATCTTACTGCCAAAAAAGTACAGTACAGCGAATGATTTTTAGTAACTCCCTGTCGCTTAATATCGATTTACATGTTGTGCCTAATATGTATATATATATATATATATATATATATATATATATATATATATGTATATTTATAATATTGTGTACACATAGTAACTGTCTTTGCCCCATCCTCGTTCTATTTCCGTTTCAAGTGCGCAGCCTGTTCAAAGTGGTAACTTTCAACAACTGTGACAATCACGAAACACAAAACGTTGTGGTCGGCACATGTCTTCAACAGCCAGAGCTTCACTTAGGCCAGGAAGCCCGACAGCCGAGACAACATGGTGTAAAAACCCATGCACTTGTTGCTTAGTACCTACAATGTATTGTCATTTCCACCGAGACAACTTGCGGAAAGGAAAATCCTTTTGGAAGGAAATGTCCCAAAGTTTGTTTACAAGAAAACACAACTTTTCGAAAGTGCGACACAGAAATGTTTCACTTCAGTCTATACACCAACATCAGATACAGTAATACACGTGCTAGGTCACGGACAGGGCCGTTCAGTAGCTGGATGACAGCGTATCACCTACAGGGACAATGCAATTTCTTCCAAATAAACGGTGGGGGGGGGAGGGGGAATCACACTTGGACATTTTTCCAAACAACCTCCATGGGGGCGGTATCAAAATCAGGAAGTTGGAGGGAGTCAGCCCCCGCCCCCCCCCCCCGCCCCCTCCTAATTCCCACACACTGGTTTCCAATCACGGTAGTTTGGATCATCGTCTGAAAAATGTAACGGCTAGTGCTAGCAGTAATATGCAAGCACCTACACCAGAATGATTTACAAACACTTGACATGATTTGACAGACAGTTTACAAACGCAAACACCTGACATGACTGGCATTCAATGAACGTGATGTAATTGATGCTGTTTGTATGGATATTCACAAAAAGTGAACACTATTTATAGATGCTAAGTAAAGGGGCTCACACTGAAATCACGGCACAACATCCCAAGGAAAACATCCACTGCGCTCGGGCGCTGGAGCAGCTAACGTTTCCGGGCGGGTACTAAAAATGACCAAGTCGGCACCGACCGCATAATAAAATATCACATGAAATGCCACCATCTTCAAAGGGATAAAAATATGACTTATCAAACTACCTTGCCTCCTCTTCAGAATCATAAGCGTTTATACTACTTGACGTTCGAATCACGTGGCGGCGCGGGCAGCGAGTCACATCCCACCTGGATCCCGAAAGACTGCAGACTACACAATACCCGACCATTCTGACCAAGCCTGGCGCGAGATGGGCTCGGCGCACAACCCATGCCAAGGGCCACGGCACTGGCGGTCACAGGACAGGGTCCTGTCCCTTCGCCGTGAAACGCGCGCCCTGCATTCAATACACATGCCTCTTTCGTCCCCGCACCTCATGGAAATTTTCCCAGCGCGAGAATCGAGCCCGCGACTCCGTGATAAGCACGGTGCCTCAGGGTACGGTCCGGTCGTCAGTACGTTTGCAGCAGTGTGAGGCCGGCACGGTCCAGTTGTAAATGTAGGAGCTGCGCGTGCGGTGCTCTCGCTCGCACAGCACGCCACGGCTCTCGAGCGTCCGCTGCTTCTCGGCCATTTGCGCGGCGCTCTGCTTGTGCATCACCAGGTAGCGGTTGTCGCAGCCGCGCGACATGTACTCGGTGTCGAAGCGCGGCTCATGGCGGCGCGTTACGTCCAGCGGCGCCAGCCACGCGCCCATCGACACGTCCTCGCTACCGAAGCGGCGAAGCAGCGGCGCGCTGGCCGCCAGGTGCGCCACCAGGTCGCTGGAGATGACGTAGCCGCCGCCGAGTGCGTACGGCAGGTAGGTGTCGCACAGATCCCAGGCGGGCTCCGCCCACTTGCCGGAGCGCTGCGGCCGCGCCCGGCCGTCGAAGAGCCCAGTAGAAGCGGCTGCGCGGCGCCACGCCAGCTCGTCCATCAGCGGGCCGAGTCGCGCGAACGTGTCGTCGTCGCCACTTGAGCGGTACCTGTGCCGCGCGTGGCCGGCCAGCCAGGCGAAGGCGGCCAGCACCTTGTCAGTCAGCCGGCCGTAGGCGTCGGCCACGTCCGGCAGCAGCAGCAAGTCGCCGTGGCGCGCCTGCTCGGCCGCCAGCTGCACGCGCTGGCCGGGCGGCAGGCTCGCGCCGCCCAACACGAACCAGTGGCGCGCCGGCGGGCTGGCCACCGCCGCGCTGGTTCGCAGCCAGGTGGGCGCGCATGGCGGCCCGCCGCTCGGCGTTGTCCGGCGCCGTCAGCACCAGCACCGCCAGCTGCCGGCGAAGGGCGCTCCGTTAGGCGGGGCGCGCGGGGGCAGGGGCGTCAGCTCGATCGCCAGGTCGTCAGCAGGAGGCCCGACTCTTCCACCAAAAGTCGTGCGGCTTAACGAGCTTGAGTCGAACAGCACATTCAACAGTTCAACACAGTACCTGCAAGTGAACTCGACATGATCTGTCCCAGTCACAATGACACTTTACTTTTTAGGTGCCTTGGCTGTACCGTAGCTGTACCCTGGCTGTAAGCTTGCACATGGCATAACTGATGAATTGCTACAAAATATAAAACCCTCCATGTGGCCAAATACGCCGCGCGAACATTTCCATTCTCATGAATCAAATCACCGCAGTCATGCACCTGGAAGTGGCTGCAACGCTGCAATGCACCAACTGCACCTGTTTTCACATACCATATACTCTGGTCCATCGGAGACCTGTCGCTGAGCGGCCGACGAGCGCAGCGCCGCCCGGTCCGGCTCGAGGATGACCACGCTGACGCACACGCCCAGGATGAAGCTGACCACCGCCGTCAGGCAGAAGAGCAGCGCCAGCATGGGCCGCCGCAGACAGGGCCGCAGCAGTGCGGGAGCCATCGGCGGCCGGCGCCGGGCCGTGGCCCCTCACGAACCGCGGCTTACCACCACCTGGTGACGCAACATGGGGCAGTCGCATGTTTGCATAATGTCGTCACGCAGGTAATGTAACCTTCTAGAGCAAAATGATGTCTTGTTTGGTACCCAACATAATTTTTTCAGCCTTCTTAATATCAAAACCCACCAGATGTGCCTGCACAGTTTTGGAAACAAAGGCACAGGCTGCTTGAAACAAGACAGTCGGCCCTCCAAATGACAGAGTATCAGTGAAGTGATATGCAAAATGCATCCTTCTATAGCATCGCATCAGAGATGAGAAGTGCGTGCTTCCGCAGGTTTTTTTCTGTGTTTATTCCAATAATGAGCACAGGTGGCTTTCAGTTCAGAGCACCTGCAAGGTAAAGCTTATTGCGTGTGCCTGGAACGCACCACCCAAGTAGACCATCCAGTTTGATTCATACTTTGCCCCACCCTTTCACTAGACAGGACTGCAGCGGGTGTCATGCGCCGCACGATGCCATGGCGGGGCAGCCCTGGGACTGCTTCAATCCACAATGGCTAGTTGCCTGCTAGCCTTTCCATCTCAGCTGGACCAAACAACATGCAAGCTCTGAGACTCCTACTTGGTACAACTTCAGAATTTCAGCTCAGACTAGCACCAGCATTAAGTGCTAAATGGATGTACACAACCATGGGTGAATGGGTGAAGTCTGACTGCACCCTGTGAACAAGTCAGAAACAAATTTAGGCAACTTTTTATGCCTTTATTTTATCAATCAACACATCACCACTTCTGTGAGTGTAAAAACTTAAATTATACAACCATTCAGGTTCTCTTCCTATGATATCTTTCTGAAGGTTAGAAAATGTGATTGTCTTGAGGTTATTTGAAAGCAATGACTGTTCTTTAGTCAACTAATACACCAGTCTTAAAAGTTTGGGACAGAAAAGCATGAGGTGTCCCATACAACAGACAGCTATTGTCATGTGGTCATTCACAAGGGCTACCTTCAGATTTGTGTCCAGGTTTCAGATGAATAGGTTTAATGCTTTTCCTGTCAGTCATAAGCTGAAATCATGACTAAAATAGCGCATCATGCATTATTGTATCACAAGGCATGAGAGTTGCCCCAGCTACATGATATCATGCCTTGCACCACCAGGGGCATGGTTGTAGCCAAAATTAGGAAATTTTGGGACAAATCATAACCTGTAAGATGCAGGTATATTTTTCCATAGAGACTGGAAGGAAATTAAATACTGTGTTGGCAAAACTGTATGTGTATTGCTTCCTCCAGCCCTCCAGTAGCTACACCAGTGAGCCAACAGGATCAACAAGCAGCACTGGGCAGAACACTGGGCAGAAGACAGTCAGCCATTTGTTCAAAAAATGATTGGCATGAAATTTTGCAGACATAACTTTAATCTATTATCACATTCAAGAGTGCCTAATGTGCAAAAGTACACAACCATATCAAAACTAACAAAAATATCATAAAAAAACATGACAGCTATTTCCGCAGCAGGTTGAAAACATAAATAAGAATGGTGTAGTGCACAGGGCCTGAACATCTGCAGAATATATCTAACCATAGGGGACACACAAAGGGTACATCACCAAATCAGTAGTCTATATAAGCTTAAGTTCAGACAAGATCTATGGCTATCATGTAACACTGGGAACTTCCAGGAACTGTTCCCAACCTAGCCAAGAATATTCAGAGTCTTCCCCACATAATTTGGCACCAATTCATGTTAATGTCAAACATAAACTATCTCACACAAAATAGCACATAACATCTCCCTAATCAAATCTTCACTTTTGGCAAAACAGACCACTGATACATAAACTTAAAATCTACTATATAAGACAAAACTAAATAGCCAGGATGGCATATGATTCAATCAATTATTTGAAACACATATGCTACACCTGCTCATTCAACATTAATTAATTCCCCACATTCACATTCAACATTCATTCATTCAACATTCCGAGCCACACAGTATGCCATTGTGGGCCACTTTCCGCTGAAATATAACAACGTTTTTTATTCAGACCAGTTTATCAACACCACCACCAACAAGACATTGCAAATTTACCAACGGCCAAACTCTGCTTAACTAGTTCTCCTGGGTAAAACTGGACCGCACATTTTGTCAGGTTGTATCAACTACCAGTTGCCAGTGGAATGTAACACATTAAAACAGCAGCACCTAGATGGCTTCCTGCATATGCATGATGGCAACTACACATGGCTAAATGAAGTAATATGTTCCTAAAACATATTGCAATGCTATGGTACTTAAACATATGACAGACAATGACATACAATGTACAAGAATGTTCACTTGATATGCATAATTTCATTATTCAGTCATTCCTTAAACATCAAGAGCCAACTACATTCAAGGTGTGCAATGTTCACCAATAGCTTGGGTGCAACTGCACATGATATATTATGCAAAATAGGGTTTCCATGCATACAAAATGCAGTTATGTATACTTGTAACCAATTTGTGACTACTACACATTGACTGAACACAACAGCCCTCTGCACGAACAGCATTCTTTAAGTGCTCACCTCCTTCAAGAGGAATACAAATCACCATGATGGGGAGCATTTATGTAAATGGTAACAAACAAAATCAGAATACAACGAACAGGCAGCTTCTGAAAACAATAACGAAGACAGCAGATCAACATAACAGATGCATTCACGCATCACATGCATGGCCTCCCGAAACAAATAAACGGAGTTTACCCCATAAGCGGATTCATTGCACCGAAGGGATGACGCAAGTGATAATACCTACCACAATCTCAGTCCAACAGTCCCAAATAGCCCCAAACCAAGTCCAAAACCAGTTCCAGAGTACTGATGTCATCAAACATACCACGACGGCTTTTCGGCGGAAACGAAACAGCTGCGCCATAATCACTCTATTTCCTTTGCTCTTTTTGAGCATTTGCAAGCGATTTGAAAGAAAAACTGCATTCAACAGCTAGCGACAGGCTCAAAAAAAATAATCTCTAAAAGTAGTTAAACAACTTTTCAAAATGACAATCACCCCGAATACTGCTTATATTCCGTAAATGCTAATATCCCTGGCTGAAGCCGCTCTGCATGTGAGCGCTGATAGTGAAAAAATTGATTTCCTATTGGTTGGTAAGAAGTGCAGCCTACCCTATAAGCGAATCAGAGATCAGGTAAAATAAGCCACAGTGATGCCGAATAGGGAGCAAAAATGCCACAGTTTGTAAACAAACCCGCCAGCAGAAAGGGACGAGAGGATAGGAGAGGCCGGGGTTTAGGAGTGTCTTAGCCCTGAAGTTTAGGGGTACAGTGACGGCTCGCGTGATCTGCCTCGTAACAGCATTGTTTGCTTCGCAGCGAAAATGAGGTTCAAGACTGCAATGTTGGCGGAGCCCAGACATTATGATACCGTCACTGCGGTTGGCTGGTGTACTACTGATGAAGTGTTTTCTGTGGCGTAAGTTACCTTCATGCCATTCGGTTAGAAGTGTGGTGCATCTAAGTCCGGGGTCGTAGTTTCACAAAATGTGTTGGGGGTGGACGACTAAATAGCGATAAATGGCCCAACCTAACCCCAAAATATACCAAAAATGTTCCTTCCCAGATTTGGTTTACTTCCCAAAGTTGGAGGGGCTGGAGTCCAAGTTGGAAGGGGCAGGGTTGAAGCCCCTTAGCTGAATAAGAAACTGCACCCGTGATAGTCACATGTGTCTGTGGCATTAAAATAATGTATCAAGGGCTAATTTTTGCTAAATCAGTTGGTGGGGGGGGGGGGGGGGAGCTTAGCTGAGTGAAAATAATTAACACAGCTGCGATTTTCACGTAGGTTTCCTTTAGGAGTAGGAGGTGGGAAGGCCGACCGCAAAATTTGGGGACTGGAAAACTGAAAACAAGGCTTAAGCCACCAACATTTAACGTCGCAACTGGGCTCAGTTCCTCAGTTTCCGTCGCGCAGTAGTCAAAATCATCTCACTGTGAATCACATTTTACCATGTCCTTTCACATTAAAAGCGTTTATTCGGTCTTGCGTTTGGTGCCCGCAGTGACGACCACACAATCCTGCGCTGGAACTTGATGACTCAGGAGCAGGAGAAGGTGGTGGACCTAGGCCCGGACGTATTCCCGGTCGACCTACACTGGGTGCCGCGCGAGCTGTCCGCCGCGCCCGCCGCCCAGAAGAAGGGCGGCACCATGGGCGGCGAAATCTTCGTCGTGGCGGCCGCCGACGGTGCGTGCTGACGGCTGCACCGGGGGTCTGGCGTTCGAATCTAGACGTGCGCTCCTGTCAATGGTCTCTCGCTAGCGCAATTAGCGGGAGGAATAACAATTACCATAGCAGCTACACGAGTTGGTGAATTGTCAACAAAATCTGCATACTGCACCACAACATTGAACAACCGTAGCTGTCCCAGTGTAAGCCTCCGTCGCAATTCGAGCGTGAGGCCAAATGTCGTGTCGGTATTGAAAGTGACATATTGGGTAGAGCATAACATAGTGCATTCGAAATATATTGGCTGCGATAAACGATAACAAGGTGCATTCGGATTGGTTTTCTCATAACGGGAACGGAAGCAGCTTGTTCGTGCATGTGTATTGTCGTATACCGGCATGCAATCCTTTTCGTGTTGCGCCGCACCTTACACTGTATTCTGTTCTTTGCAGGCAAATTTTACATGATGAACAAAGTGGGCCGTGTGGAAAAGACGGTCGAGGCCCACAAAGGGGCGGTGCTCTCTGCCCGCTGGAGCAGCGACGGATCAGCTCTTCTCACATGTGAGAAGCGGTTGTCAGGCCTGCATCTCACCAAGTTCTGGCATTGCCACCTGACTATGGAGACACTATATGTTCTCATTTGCGTCCTTAGGGATGTGTCGTAGCTAATGTTCGTCTTGCAGGGCGGTTTTGGTTGTTGTTAATGCGTGTTAATTTGTCGTGTTATATTTGCCGCTTCCACTTTAAGTTTTTCAGGACGTATCGACAATAAGATACCTTGTGCCTATCTGATTTGTATTACATTGCATCTAATAGAACCGAAACGAAACCAAAGTTTTGTAACTCAGAACCATCATTCCCTCCGTGAACATTACCTATTGCAATAAGGCTGACATCATCTGCTCGCGGTCGTGGACCACACCTTACTTCAAATGTAGTGGTATAACCCTGGACGATCTTGAGAAGAGTGGAGCCTTGTGGACCTGTTCCTGTCTGACAGTGGGCCAAGGCGGAGTTTCAAGGGCCGGCCCCACCCGTCGTTCCCCTTCACCCGCCCTGCAGTATGTAGACCGGGGAGCTCAAGACGTTGGTCCGGCTAAACACCTGGGCCGTCTTAATGTCCCCCAGGTCTGTAACCTCGTTGCCGGCAATATGTTGCAGGGGATGATAGCTAAATATGTGTTCCCGCTCTGTCCCTTCCTCCGCCGCTCCCCCTGCCCGGCAGCTGGTGGCGACCGGGTGCTATGGAAGTGGTAACGCCTGTCTTGAACTCCCCTCCTCCCCTGTCCGGCAGCTAATGAGGACGCAGTGCTGAGGATGTGGTAATATCCTGTCTTGATCTCACTCATCCCCTATCCGGCAGCTGGTGAGGATGGGGCGCTGAAGACGTGGCAACACTCTGTCCTGACCTCCCTTCCACCCTGTGCGGCAGCTGGTGAGGACGGGGGCGCTGAAGATGTGGCAACACCCTGTCCTGACCTCCTTCCACCCTGTGCGGCAGCTGGTGAGGACGGGGCGGCTGAAGACGTGGCAACACTCTGTCCTGACCTCCTGCCACCCTGTCCGGCAGCTGGTGAGGACGGGGCGCTGAAGATGTGGTCCCGCTCCGGTATGCTGCGCTCCACACTGGTGCAGGGAAGCAGGCTCCATTTACGCGGCCGACTGGGGACCCACCTCGGCCGAGGTGGTTGTACTCGCAGCGCAAGAACATCGTGGTCAAGCCGCTCGCGCCCAACTTCCAAACCCAACTCGGTGAGGACTTCACCCTCCAATCCATCGTTCGAGGCTAGCTGGGTGGGACGTGGCCATACGCGGCAGAAGAGCGTGGTGCTGGCCGCTCTGGTGTCCGGGGAAGGCGCGAACTGCGGCTGGCGGCAGCCAGAATACTGATGCTCTGCGTTCGAGTTGCGTTAAATGTTGCTGGTCCTGACTGATCAGTGTCTACGCTTGTGAACGCCTTGGTGAGTGTTCTTTGGCTCACTGGGATGGTGCGTGTTCAAAGCTAATGTTAGCACAAAATTACGAAGATTCGCGGTTAAATTCGATGAGAAGCGTTTAGCCGGTGAGCAAACTGGACGCAATTTTGTGATGACAGTGCATTTGTTCGCATGCATGATGCTTCAAGGTAAGCACCAAATGTATCGTACCACATGGTCTTCAACTCACTCGTGGCAGCGCAGCTGTGCGCGGTATCGTCACTAGACGCGACTCACTGTCGGCCTTTTCCAGTGGAAGGGGCATGAGGGACCCATTCTGACGCTGGCCTGGAACACCAACACCCGATTCATCGCCTCGGGCGCCGAGGATTGCAGGTCAGCGGCGAGCGCCAGTGGACGGCGAACGCCACGCCACTGACGGCGAACGCACTGACGGCGAACGACCACTGACGGCGAGCGCCTACAGACAGGCGGCTGTGTGATTTTTTCGCCTTGTGTCCGTGATGCTGGTCGCATATCGGTCGTGGCTGGGTGCGCTTCAATAAGGACGTGTGGTGTACGTGATACGTCCTGCTATGGGGGGCAACAGCGGCTCTAAAGGTCACTAGGTGACTAGGCGGTAATTCACGGCGAGAGCGCCCCCCCCCCCCGCCCCCATGATCTGGAATCCACATTGTTAAACCACTGGGATGTTTTCCCCGCCTGGTAAAACACTGCCATGGACATGCAACGGCTTGTCATTACTGGACGCGTCAGCTTGCGTGTCCGTACCGCACGGCAGGTACCGCATCTGGGACAGGTACGGCCGGATGTTGTACAACTCCGCGGCGCATGACTAACCCGGTGACGGCCATCTCGTGGAGCCCCAGCGGCGACAAACTTTGCCGTCGGCTCGTTCAACACGCTGCGACTGTGCGACAAGAAGGGCTGGTCGCACTCGCTGGAGAAGCCCAACACCGGGCAGCATTCTGCGCATCGCCTGTTCCAACGACGGCACCCAGGTGGCCGGCGCCTGCTCCAACGGCCACGTCATCTTCGCGCACGTCATCGAAAAGTGCGTGGGTGGTCAGCGCGCTGGGCGTGGCGCCAGTCTGGACTGGGAACGTTGGTAGCGTTTCTTGTTGAGGGCGCTTCGGACTGGCCGTGGCTGTTGTCGCATCGAGGCAGACGTTTAACCGTAGGATAGAATGCCACGTGTGCCGTGAAGGACGGCACGCGGCCATAGACCAACGTCCTTGAATAAGACTGTTAAATGTTATTTGTTTTCGTGGCTCAGAATGTCGAGCGAACTGGAAATTCTGCAGTCATGCAATTCTCATTGCGTTAGATTAACTGGATGCCTCCATTCGCCGCCATAAAGATTGCGGACTTAGTTCCGTTCTCATTTGACTGGAGCCGTTTCCACAAAGTTGCCAGGGAAGACCCGTGGTTAAGACTGTACAAGGCAGTATCAAAGCCGCTTACATATGTAGCTCGATCTTAGGCGTGAATACAGCTTTGCGCTCCGGCGGCGGTGGCCCTCTGCAGCCACCTGCGCAAGCGTGCCGGCCGCGCTCCACCCGGGGTGAGCCGTGGGACTCGGCCGGCATGGCGCGCGTGACGCGTGCGTGACGGGCCTCCGGGCCGGCCGCAGGCGGATGGAGTGGGACCATTACGAGGGCGACGGTGACGGGCCGCAAGACCATCTGCCTGCGTGACGTCATCTCGGACGTTCTGGGAGAAAGCTGGAGGTTCCAGGACCCGCATCATCATGACGGTCGTTCGCCTACGGGTGAGCGGCAGCCGCGGATGCGCTGGGGCAGGGGTGGAGATCCAGCGGCAGGGGGCGGGTGCTCTAACCACTATACCGCCTGCGAAGATGTGTGGCTGTACGCTGCCAGATGAGGACCCTCATCTCATGCACTCATTTGTATTGCCTCGCTGGGCTCCCTGCGCCAAAAGCAAAAAGGGTGTGGGCAGACACATTGTAAGCTATAATGTGTCACCATTCATCCGTCCGCTGCTGGTGCAGTGGTTGCAATATGAGCGTACAAATTACCGGTTCCCAAGCCGGAACATGCGAGAGCCCTTCAAGATAGCTCCTTGCATAGGTCCGTGGCGGGCGCCCTGAGGTACTTCGCAGAGCCAAGTACACTTGATACCGGTTGAAACGTGGCGTGCGGTTTGGCGCTATTAGAAGTGGACAGTTGTCCAAATTTCATGCGGCCATTAGAAATGGCTTCCGAAGTGCGGCGGCTCTTGCGTGTTATTTTCCACCTCTGACTTTGGCTTTTCGCCCGCGACCTTGTAAAAGTGATGCTTGGGATGGTTTCGCTCATTTTGGGGGTTTTGGGCCTCGCATTCTGGCGCAATGTACAGTTGTTTGCCTCATCACCCTTGCGTGTCGCCCTGCTGGACGCTTTAATTCACAGGCCATGACAGCATTAATTGTGTGGTCGTCGCAGCTCACGTTCGCCTTTTCCCAGGTACCTGCTGGTGGCCACGACCGGCCAGTGCTTCGTCTACTCGTCCCGCAACTGGAACACGCCGCTCATCTTCGAGCTGAAGGAGGGCAACGTCCACCTCATCCTGCAGGCCTCGCAGTAGGTCGCCATGCCGACGCCACGACTGATGATGCTCCTCTCGGGTCACGGCAGGCCACGGCCGGAGACGCTCCTCACGGGTAGTGGCTGAGGAAGCTTCCCAGGTCAAGCTAGGTCACGGCTGGAGACGCTCCTCACAGGTTACGGAAGGTCACGCCTGGAAACGGTCCTCACAGGTCCACGGCTGGGGAAGCTCATCACATGTCACGCTAGATTACGGGCTGATAATGCTCCTCACAAGGTCACGCTAGGTCACGGCTGAGGAAGCTTATCACATGTCACGCTAGATTACGGGCTGAGAATGCTCCTCACAGGTCACGCTAGCTCACGGCTGAGGATGCTCCTCACACGTCACGCTAGATTACGGCTGAGAATGCTCCTCACAGGGTCACGCTAGGTCACGGCTGAGGATGCTCCTCACAGGTCATGCCCGGTCACGACCGGAGACACCGGACCGGAGGACCGGAGGCAATCCACGCTGCTCAGAGCTGCGGTACGCCTTACGGGCATGGTCGTCTGATGCCACAAAACAGCACCTCACCGCAGGGTGTTCTCACCAGTGATCGGCATATCGGCGTCCTCTTCAGTAGACGGTATTGGGTGTGCTCCCGCAGTGCGTGCTCAGCCGGTGGTCTGTGTGCTCTGCTGCAGGGTGTTCGCGCTGGTGGACGGCAACTCTGTGTACGTGTACACGTACGAGGCGCGGCTCCAGTGCACACCCCGCTGGCAAGGCATGCGACTGGACAGCGTGTCCGAACAGACCGCCTCACTCAGCAACGATACGTTCGCCTGCCGGGACAGTGACAGCGAGAAAGGTGAGCCGTCGGCAGCTGGGAGGGTACCGGGGCGGCGCTGCTCCCCCATCCCGCCACGCCCTTCAACTCCGGCCACTGACGTGACCAAGGCTATGAAAACCTGTGTAGGCGAGGAGAAGGGTAGACGTCTAGCTGTGGATGGGCCCAGGACGTCTGCCGCTCGGAATGTATGAATGCCCCCGTTTTTGTTTCGTTTTGTTTTTTGTTGGTCGTTTTTGGTGGGGTCTTTGACCATGGTAAGCAGGGAGGCCGGAGTTCATATTTGAAGTTAAGAAGTCACAAATGCACTATCGTGCCTGTAATAGGTACACTTTTCGATGGGTAACTTAGTGACATCCGTTTGTGAGCAATTTGTGACTAAACTGATGGGGCCACAAGAACCTGTATAGTTGGATAATTCCTTGCCACTGCAAATAGTGCATTTGTGTCCTGCGTTGTGATAATATGAAAAAGTAATTCTTATGACGCTCGCGCCCGCTGCCTGTAACGTTGCATGATTAATTTTTTCCACGCTTGTCACCCGCGCTTTCTTGATGAGTTTGACCTGGCGTATATGGCCAACTTGAAGTGGTGCCCGTGAGGTCCCTCCGGTGACTTGGCTCCGTGTCGCCGGTCAGTGATCCAGCTGATGGACGCCATGACCGGCAAACCAGTGATCGACAAGCCGTTCACTCACAAGTGCGACGTGCTGGAGCTGGCGCTGGACCAGCAGCTGCCGGCCGCCCAGCGCAAGCTCGCCTTCGTCGACGCCAACAAGGATCTCTTCCTGCTCACGACGCGCCGGGTGGGCGGCGCGCGCAAGCTGCTCCGTCTCGGTACGCCGGCGACGCTGGGTTTCGACGGACCGCGCGGCGGCGCACCCGCGAGCGTGACATCACTGACACCGGCGCGCGAGGCTGCCGCTGAGCCGACGGTGCTGTGAGAGATTGCGATGCGCCACGCAGTTATTTGAAATAGTCTTCATGGCGGCGCCTACACATCGGAAAATGTATTTCGTGGGGGCTACGTGATGTATCTCCGACATCGAAAGGCTTTGAGTCCGTCCAGGCATCCGGTATGACGGGAGGTGTCGAGGCCCCTGACGAGGGCAGGCGAGGTAACTGCCCCGCGTGCGGTGGTGACGCCGTTCCGCCCCGCCGTCGCAGGTATGATGGTGCACTCGCTGTGCTGGAGTCACCAGGCCAACATGCTGGCTGGTCTGCAGGAGTCGCGCCTCTCCGTCTGGTACTACCCGGCCGTCATCTTCGTCGACAAGGAGCTGCTCAACATGACCATCCTGCAGAAGGAATCTCCGTGAGTGTCACCGGCGCCGCTCGGCGCTCTCGGGTCGCGTGCGTCCGGGCCCGCCGCTGCTCAGTGTCGCTCCCGTCGACCAGGCATGGCTGGACTGGGGCGACAGCACGGGCTGCTCGTTTGGGGACTGGGCGTTTGCTTTGAGACTGTCACGGCTTCCCTCGCCCGCCCTTCGCACGCAGAGAAAATGCGCAAGGGAGGCACAATAAGCGAAAACTGTCGGCCTTCTGATGGAATTGTATTTTATACTTTGTACGATGCTCCGCTATCAAGCTTGAGGCTCATCAAACGCGCGTGCTGCTCAATTCGACGGTTACAGCATAGCTGTACGCGTCGAATGTAATTTTCACGCTTAATGAGGCAACGAAACCCTGGTGCGATTTGCACCCCGGGTTTCATATTGGAGGGAACAATCAGGACCGACGTGATGCACTCTAAGCATGATCCGCACGGCACACGCACACATGCCCTCGATTTCCTACCATATTCAAGGCCTGGGTCCGAAACGAGGTTCTATTCAACGCCTCCTACAGCTGCCACCAGCTGTCCTTCAATCCCATACCTCCAATGACCAGGCGTCATTTGTGCCATGCCCACCGCGCTGCGGTAGCCCGCAGAGTTGCATATGCCGCATGCGTCAACAGCGTCAATGATCACGTCTCCAGACCGGCCTGGTCGGAGGTGGCCCTGAAGCGTCGCGTTCCCCGGAGCGTCGGGCGACTTGCCGCCGTACGACTGGGGAAAACACGCCTTTTGTGTAGTCGCTCGGTGACATCTCCGGCTTCTGACCTGCGATTGGCTGCTGCATGAATGTCATGCAGGCCGTGACCGTGGCTGGGTGCGTAAATGCATCTGTGTCATGCGGTGGCCGAGGCTTCTAGCCTTTGCTTTTAGAAGCAGAAATTAACCAATAGCGTTTCACCCTTATCTGCGGATCCCTTGAAGCATTTGCAGCTGAGCTATCATGCCGAAAGCACCGTTGGTCTCCGTGACGTGAAACTGTGCTGTGTGTGCTGGACCGCGGGCTGGGGGATGAGAGGTGAGTGGAGACGGCGACGCCCTCCGTGATGATGCTGTAGGGCTGTGAGGAACTTGATAAGCACAACAACAGTCACGCCAAGGGGTGCGTTTTAGGTATTTATACCGATAGCTTGACAGCGAGAAAATGAATTGGTTGTAAGCAAAAATAGCTCGGTAAAACAGTCAGGTGGACAGGGAGTAAAGTGATGAAGGGGTCATCATACCAGGACGTTCTCGTCAAATGGCAGGAATATTTGTAGGCTTTGTTCCCTTGTTCATTTCAGAACAGTACAAAGTCGCCAGCAAAGCCAGTCACAATGTTAGTAGTGACAGCATAAGTCCAAGGATTATTTTGTCGTCACGGTGACTTACAAAAGTTCTGAGAGTGCAACGCCCGTGCAGACAGCACGCGCCCAGGCGTCACTGACACCGACAAACAACCGGAGCGTGCGGACATCACGCGCCCAGGCGTCACCGACACCGACAAACAACCGGACCGTGCGGACATCACGCGCCCAGGCGTCACCGACACCGACAAACAACCGGAGCGTGCAGACAGCACGCGCCCAGGCGTCACCGACACCGACAAACAACCGGACCGTGCGGACATCACGCGCCCAGGCGTCACCGACACCGACAAACAACCGGAGCGTGCAGACAGCACGCGCCCAGGCGTCACTTACCCTGTTTACATGGGCAGCTGTGATTCGAATTGAGCCGGGACCCGTCCTCGATCCGAACTATCCGGCCCATGTATAACACTCACGCGCCGTTCCGCTGATTCGAATCGTGCGCCCGGAGGAAATCCCTTCCCGTGAGAGGATCATCCGTTCAGGAAGGGATTTCGTCCGAATTAATCCGGCCGTCAGCTTGTCTAAAACAAAAAAAAGAAAAATGCCTGGCTCACGCAGTTCTGTTCATGGCCATTTCAGCTTGTTTGGTGTTGCCGCTTTCCACGGGTTTTTAGGTATTGCTCGGGACGGTCCAAGTCCAAGATGGTAAAGGAAAAGAGAAAGAAGGTGAAGTTGACACCATGCTGCTAAAACTACTCTTATTATTGAGGGCCTTGAGTGGCTAGCAGCACAGAAATGCTCACGTAATTTAGCCTTGCTAGGCGCTTGATCTATGCAGACAGCAGGCGTCGACAGTGTTTGGTGCTATCTTTCCGCCTAAAGGTTAGATTAGCTTACATCTGGGGCAGGCTCCATGCGTCCAAAAGCCAGATGGAGGTAATATGGTTATTTTATATAGCTTTGACTTGTTCTCATTTTAATTTTTGGATTGCTCAAAATTCTTGCAGAGAATGCCTCCAAGTTTCATTCATTAAGTTAATACCTTAAGTCCCCAGGGGTGTTTTTGCAGATGTTCCACAAATTAGGATGCTGGTTGCTTGTCAGTTTAATTTGTGTGAGAAAGGTAGCTTAAAAATTGCTGCATGATATGACGGATGAACAAGTATAGATCATTGCAGTCAGCTTGGAATGTGAACTTTTTTAATGGTAGGACCGAAATTGCCCAATGATGGGGTCAAAACAGCAAGAAAGCAAATGTGAACACTGGATGAAAATAGTTGTCATCATTACTCTGCTAAATCCAAGTTTGTGTGTTCCATGTGCAGGAAAACAGTGCATAAACTAACACCTAACACGATGGCACATGCTGCATGGAGAACATGTCTGTGTTGCATATCATCACCGGTTTTTGTGCTGGTGATTAAATATGTCACCTTGGTGCTTTTTTGTGATGGGTGTCTTTGCAGGCCATGAGGTAGGTACTTCAACTGTTCAACAATTCTTGCAGGGAGTACCAATAGTTTCTTTCATTAAGTGAATACATAAATGCCCCAGGATTGATTTTGCAGACATTCCTCCTGTGACTTGAACATTTGGTTGACCACCTATTGGCAGGAGGGATGTGCTGGATATTGGTGACTGGCTCGTCAAGGAAATATGAAGTTACATCACACTGGTAGACCAAATGGCAAGGAAGCGGGGGCTGGGATATTTGTTTTTGATGTGATTGGCCTGTTTGTTGCTTGTCGGTTTAATGTGTGTGAGATAGGTAACTCAATAATTCCTGCATTATGCAAAGGATCAACAAATATAGGCAATAGATCATTGCAGTCAGTGCAGAATGTGAACTTTTTTAATGATGGGACCAAAATTGCCCAGTGATGGTTCCAAAATGTCAAGAAAGCAAATGTGAGCACTGGATGAAAATAGCTGTCATCAGTACTCTGCCAAATCCAGGTTTGTGCATTTCATGTGGAAGAAAACAGTGCATAAACTAAGTACACCTAACATAATGCCACATGATGTGCAGAGAACATCCGTGGTGCACATCATTACCTGTTTTTGCACTGGGGAGTAAATATGTTAGCTTGGTGCTTTTTTGTGACATGTATCTTTGCAAACCATGAGGTGGATAATTGAGCTGTTGTTATAATTAATCATTTGTTATGAATTTTGAGCCCAGATTGCTTTTGTCATGACAGCTCTGGGGCTGGTTCACATGTAATGATCTTTGGACTGTGCGAACACAGCTGTTTGTGCCACCTAGCCATCAGTCCACATCAGCCAATGCTGTTGACTGCAAGGATATCAAAGCAGTATTTCAACCCTAGTATGTCAAGAAAGCAAATAGCTGCATTCTGAACTTGCCAGCCCATGCCAAGTCTAAATGGCAATGCTGCCCTCAGGTACTGATGATGCATTGGATGGGTAAAGACAACATAGTTACACACAATTTTGCCACTAAACTATGTAGCATTCATGAGTCATTTCTGTAGCTTAGCTCACTGTTGCAGGCTGCTCATAAATGCATTAGTGTGGGAGTAGGTAATGTGTTTCTTGGGCTGCGCAAAGTAGATGACATGATGCTGGGTGGCATACTGATATGAGTGTGGTAAGTTTGTGAGTGTCATTGGCCAATACAAGAAAATATTGATTTCCTGCTAGCCAAAGTTCCCGCTAGTAAAAATTTGCATATAACACTGCTTATATAACAGATTTGGCAGTGCTGACTGCGCAACTCTTGTGTTTCAAGTGCTATGGCTTGTGCTGTAGCTATAAAGCCTTTGAGTCCCGCACAGATCATTTTTCCAACGGAGTCCATCTTCCTCCTCGCCCTCAAAGCTGTCTCGCGCCCACCATGGCTCGTGACATTCGCCATCCATACGCAGAGTACCGGATTTTTTCTTCTTGTTTTGTTCAGTTCGCCTCAAAAGCGCAGTTTTCGCCCATAATCCGTTCCTTGATTCGAACTAAGCGGGATCGAACTATCGACCGTTAATCCGACGTAAAGCCGGTTTCGCCCATGTAAACGCCCCTCGCCGAGAGGGTTAACGTCGCATGATCCGTTCCGATCTTAATTCGAATTATCCTCGGCTGCCCATGTAAACCGGGTAACTGACACCGACGAATGGCCTGACCGTGCGGACATCACGCGCCCAGGCGTCACTTACCCTGTTTACATGGGCAGCTGTGATTCGAATTAAGCCGGGACCCGTCCTCGATCCGAACTATCCGGCCCATGTATACACTCACGCGCCGTTCCGCTGATTCGAATCGTGCGCCGGAGGAAACCCCTTCCCGTGAGAGGATCATCCGTTCAGGAAGGGATTTCGTCCGAATTATCGGCCGTCAGCTGTCTAAACAAAAAAAAAAAGAAAAATGCCTGGCGCACGCAGTTCTGTTCATAGCCATTTCAGCTTTGTGCGGTGTTACCGCTTTTCCACGGGTTTTTAGCTATTGCTCGAGACGGTTCAAGTCCAAGATGGTAAGGGAAAAGAGAAGGAAGGTGAAGTTGACATCATGCTGCTAAAACTACTCTTATTATTGAGGGCCTTGAGTGGCTAGCAGCACAGAAATGCTCACGTAATTTAGCCTTGCTAGGCGCTTGATCTATGCAGACAGCAGGCGTCGACAGTGTTTGGTGCTATCTTTCCGCCTAAAGGTTAGATTAGCTTACATCTGGGGCAG